ATAATCAAAAGTTTGCCTTAATTTAGTATCAAATATCAAATATGATATGTGTATAGAAATGGGTGTTTTAATACAAGCATTGAATTGATTGCCACTATATTTACGTTAACAACAGGTGTTATCATCACTAGAATCTCATCTCAACTTTTGCTATCACTTTTAATAGCGAAATAAAAAACAAACATTTGATGGCATTTATAATACTTATTGTTTGTCTAATGATAGGGGACTTCAATACGTGTCTAAACACAGACAACAACGGATCAAATTGATTGCCGAGCATTTAGTTGATCACAAATATGACATTGTCTTCCTTCAAGAAGTAACACATGTCCGCACTTTTCATACCAATTGACTGACCCTTTGATGTGTCTCTAGATTTGGGTTCAATCGGACTTTGATTACATCCGAAAGGCCACAGAATCTGAGTTCAAATTTTCACATTTCTTTAAAAACGGGAGTGTTTTAGGAAATAGCGGTTAGAATTCATACATTTCTTTACCATTGATATGAACTTTAAAACAAAGTTTTATGAGTTGTTAACTTATGAAAGGTTTGGCAGTTTTGGTTAAATGGGTTCCCAAAGCGTTTCATTTTCACCCGTTTTCGGTGAACGGATCGCCTTTTCGTCTAAATCATGGCGATTGGTATACCTCTAAAGGTCTGACATTAATGTCCCAAAGAGTCCAGTAATGTCTTTAAGTGATTACATTTATGATATCAGGTGTTGGATATATTCGCGTAGAATTGGATTCACTGAATCTTCATTTATTCTGCACTCATGTGAGTTCCTCTCAAAGGACCACATAATCATTGGTCTTATATTTTAATGTTAACTAATTGTGATTTGAATTGTGTTGAGATTTACGCAAATATTTGTTTGAAACTAATGCCTGATTGTATGATTGTGTGTGAAATCAGATGCACGCACAGTATCATCTGGAGGAACGTCTGAACGACATGTATTCAATTCACCGGATCTGTCAATCCTATGAAATGTCTAACTTTATTAAAATTATGACAAACTTTCAAACCAATGGTTCCAAAGATCTGGTAGTACTCGCCGGCGATCTAAACGCTTCGTCTAAGGAACTGCCCTATCGTTTGTTGGGTTCGATCTATTCTTATAATCAATTTTATAATTTATATTTAACTTTTAATATTATTTATTTATTCATTCATTACTCGAATCAACAGTTAGTTTAACAGAACTAAACGATTGCTTCAAATACAGAACAAAATTCAATAAAGAGAGTATAGAAGGCGGGGATTGTATACCAAAACACAATCAGTTAGTCCGCGATCACAGCGATTCCGAAACCGATGATGAATACCATACGTGCGGACATCGAGACAACAAGTTTACCGACGATTGTTCGGGAAAACGGATTGATTTCCTTTTATATCGATTCTCTGATTATGCGATCAATAGTAGCTATAATGAAGTGATCGCCGAAACAAACGCCGTATCGCTTGAAGACGACTTGTGTGGCGTTGAGTACATGAATGTCCACTGCAAGGACACTACAGGCCTATCATTCAGTGACCACCAGCCGGTCGTCGCGCAGTTTAAGATCAAATCTTCTGACATGAAGAGTGGTTCGAGAAGTGCTGAGTCGGGAGCAGACAATCCAATGGCCAACAATTTGTCGACTTTAAGTGACAATTATCTGATCGGAGGTAACAAAGAAGCAAATATCTCGTCAAACGGTTGCGGTTCTACTCATCACAGGAAAGTGCATGAAAAGAGGTTTTCGGGAGAGACGGGTGAAGGCATTGATTGTAATGAATCGGTTGATACCGAATATAACAAAACAGATAAAATGGGATTATTATCGGGTAAACCAAAGCTTAAGTCTAATGTTTTGCTAGAATTGGCCGAATCTGCGTCCAAGTTCTCGAAGAGTGGTCGTCCTCTTCAGCTCAAACACATGGCTTCCAACGCTCTTAAATCTAGACAACAGTCAAACTCTTCTAAACGCCAATCACTGGAAAATGTCAAATGTCTTCTCGAAGACTATGTCACCCAAAATCAATTGAGTTTCAAATATTTTGTATTCACGTCTCTATTCCTATTTATAATCATTTGTCTCTTGGCGTCAACTCTCTGGACATTCCTTCAGATTGCTGTCATAGAAGTGGTCTTTTTGACAATATTGTTGTCAATAACACCGATGTTTGTAAACTTTATCAAATTCTTGAACACTCGTCAAGAGATTAATGCCATCAAAGCTATTATCGACGATATGGACAAACAAATCTATTTGTATCAATGATTCAGTTATCCCTTCAATAAATTTATTTTTAACTAAACTAAACACTATTTAATCGACAATTAATGAACATTTCGGTCACTTTTGTCAATGACATGAATCTCGCATTGAATTGTAAAGAAACACAAAGACATATCACTTTATAAATCAATCAAACATTTATTACTGATTTTATAATAAATTCAAATGAAATCATATCTTAAGGACGAACCGATCCTCTGAAAGGGACGGTTGGGTTAGTCTGTTGTAAACCAGATATCTTGTCCATTGCCATCTCCTTCAGCATGAGGAATGAGTCGGGATCCACTTCGATCACATCCATGTCAATGGCAGACACCTATTCAAAGAGACACATGGGGTCAGCAAATGCAAGTGTTGGGACACGTGAATACATACATCGGGCACATAGTTGTCCCTTCGCTCGCGCTCTTCCTCTTGCAATTTGATGGAAATGCCTCTAATGGGCGCCCTTTGGATCCGTCTCATCAGATGAGTGACAAACCCCGCGATTTGGTTGCGAAGCCGTTTCGATGGTATGATAGCTATCTCTTCGCATATTCTCTTATTG